AAAAAAAACAAACAAACAAACACTAAGCTGCATGGGTAACGCATGCATGAAAGTGTTAAAAAATTGCTTCACTTCAGATTATGACATCTGTGGAAGTTGCAATGACCCATCCCAGATGTCTTTCTGCATTCTTCATGGCTGTCCTCCAGTGTGAATGCAAATGCACCTTAAAGCCTTCTTTCTTGATTAACAAAACCTACCAAAGCTGCAGAACTGGAGTTGTGCTTCGCTCCTCAGTGTGCACTCCCTATTTCTGTCAATCTTCAGCTCAGACTAAATGAGTGGGAGAAGGTACCAATTAACCAGGCCAAAATCACCATTGTATACTTTTTTCTGAAAATACTGGGATGCATGTGCTGCTCAAAAAATGTTTAGAGAGCTTAGATATTTCGCTATATACATATATAAAGTGTTTCTTGAAGATCTACCCCTGTAAGTTCAAAAATGCATTGCTCTGAAAACTGAAAATGTTTAAGTTAATCATCTTAGTCTTTTCCATGCAATGCTTGGAAGTTGTACCAACTACTTACTAATAACATACCATTCAATAGCATACAAAGGCAACTCTTGTGGCCCTTCCTACTACTATCTAATTCATTTTCATATATAAATGACCTTCCCTTGAGCATAAGTGCAAACATCGACACATATGTGAACAACACCACAACTTTTTTTTTTCCAGTTCAAATTCCTTGGTTTTTCAGGAGATCCTCCAAAATGAACTTCACAACTTCTGAAACTGGTTTAACAAAAATTTAAAAAAAAGCTAATAAAAGGTGTTACTAAGGCCTCCCCCATTCTCAAAGTCTGTCCCAACAGCAGGCTCGCCTCATTTCCAATCAAATACTTACAATGACCTTGTGCTAAACTCAGAGCATATCTGATTACTTAAAAAAGTCCTTACTTTAACTTAAGATGCATGTCATTCTTGAGAAGATCACTGAACTTCCATTGTGAAGGAAATCATCATAATTTGTACCTCATCTATTCAATATCCCCTTTGGTCTCAACTAGCAAACTCAACCTACTTCCATATGCCTGTACTCTCCCCCAAATCACATCACATCTCAGTTGACAACAAGTTTGTCTCCTGTGGCAGGGGACCAAAGTTCAAACCAGCGACAGCTCGTGATATGCGGCAGCAGTGGAGACGGGGGAGGCCGGCCTCCTCTGTCTCCATTCAAGAATAACTACTGCTGCATATCATGAGCCGCCACTGGTTCCAACCCAATCAGGACCAGCATTTCTTTCTGAGCCTAAGCCTTAGCGTGCTCAGGAAGAGAGCACCGTGAATGTCGGGCACCTGTCTCCAGATGTGGGATGCTGAAGATCCCTGGTGGTGAAGGTTGAACTCTGGCACCATATCCCTGGAGTAACTGCATGGGTTTACTTGTGTTAGCTCAATTGCAGGAAAGTAGGGTTTAGATGGGAGGGTGGGTTAGTTGGAGTTCAAGATACTGGGCTTCTTGCACTCTTTGGCTTATTGTACCTGGTGCATGATACCTGTCTCAACAAGCAGCTTCTGTATCTATTGTCAATCAGAGGACACGCGTACACAAAATTTTATGCATGTTGAAAATATGGAAAACTTCTTCTCTTCGTTAACTCTCGGAACTCCTCATGATATGCCTACATTTCTTACATCTGTTACCAGGAAATTCTTGCAAAATTCTGGTCCTCGGCATCCTTTGGCAAAGAGCAGCATTTTTATGAGCAGACAGAGGAGTTCTGGCCCAAGATTGGTGCCCTCTGCTTCATTTCATCCCGCAAAAATAAAAATTTGAGTTGCCTTCGTGTTTTTACTTTTGTGCTGGAGAAAGAAAAGCAACAGGAATTTTAGGACATTACATAGAAGATACATAGAAGTCATTGCAAACAATTTCTTCCATGCTCTCTGCTACCTCATGAACTCCAATGAATCTCTTCTTTTTTTTTATGCCTAACCCAGTATATAATATGCACCTGTCATGCTCATTCCCAGAGAATTGGACATGACAGAAAGTCAGCCAGGTGACAATTGAAACTACATAAAGTGGTGGTTTGCTGAAAAATATTAAACCATCAACAAGAAAGCTACTTTTTAAATTTCCAATTATGCCAAAATGCCCTAAAATGCTCTAAAACATGCAAAATGTCCCAGAATTCAGTACATTTTCAGCTTATCCCAACTTTCAGTTTATACACAAAGATGACTGGAATACAAGGATGACTGCCACAAATACAACAATTACCATGAATGACCAGATGACACAAACATGAATTGAGGATTGCTCGAATACACTCACAACATGCCCATATGACTTGCATTTGTGATGGCAATCAACTGGGACAAACTTCTGAAAAGATTGAAGGGTGGCAAAAACAGGTGATGGGAGGTACCCATCACCTGTTTTTGCCACGGTTAACCTGTTGCTTTTCCTAGGGTTCAAAGACTCAATGACGTAAAACTTGAAATTACTGGTAGCGACAGTCAAGGCAGATTTCTTGGGTAAACTGGGGCTAATGCTTCAAATGTAGTATACAATGAAATTCTGTGAGAAGATTACAGATCAAGTACTTATATTAAAAAATTGTTCACTCTATTTCACTTCTTGAGTTGGACTCCCAATCCAAAGGTGCTGACTATCGAGATTGCCCACAACATTGAAGGGGCACTTGAGTAATTACCAGTAAAATGTCTTCCTGTCTCCAATCTATCCATCCATTGGGAAGGTTCAAAATTGGTTGAAGTAGAAACAGAAGCCATAAGCAAGAATTCCTAGGTGAACCAGGTTTAATGCAGATAACGTTTATTCTAACCTATAACTCTTCACGTGGCACAAAGCAACCTCTGAAGTAAGGAGTCAGGCAAAGAAGAAAAATTAGAATACAATTATATGTATATTCTCAATTTATCAAGTGTCACTGCTTCAGCTGGTAAGATATCAAGTTGGATGGCACCATGCATGCCACTTGCATCCCCTTCAAGGAGGGCCTATTCCCAGAGGCCATTGTAGATGAAGTGCATCAAGCTCAATGGCAACTACATGAGTAGATATCACTCTTAAAAACAACATATGAAAACTTCAAAAGATTATTTAGTGAAATAAAAGACTTATGAACCAATACTTTCCTCAGTTGTTCTTAAAGCAACCAGTTTTTTGTACCTCCAAAATGAGTCAGGCTTGCTATTGTTCCCATTGTGTCAATGTTCAGATGGAAATGGATGAACAGCTAATGATAATAATTCTGTTTCTTTGTGACTCCATGGATAACATTTTTTTTATCCATGGTGTCACCCTCCAGCTCGATCCATATATTAAAACCATGATACCAACAGTGAGAGAGGGGGAAGGAAAACATCTTTCATCCTACCACTAAAATCAGTGGTTTGATGAAAGTTTCACCATAAAATTCCATTGGGAACCTTAAGAACTTGCTGCAATTCTCAAAGGGCAACCCCATTACACATATATTCCATATTAGCAGCCAAAATTAACATTAACTTGGAGGGCAACCAACACAGATTAATTGATGGCCTGGTAGACATCAGACACTACTATTTGAGTTACATCACTTGGCATTATGAGATCTGAGTGAAGGGGAAGACCGTCGTAATGACTGCCTCCGGTGCAGAGTTGGAAATGTTTGGGTGCATGGGCTTAAAGAACTCCATCCTCCAATCAAATTCCATACGAATTTGTGATTTTATATCACCTTTCTGCATGGTCCTCAGGTTAACGGGCATTTAAATGAACAGGAACAGGGACCGAGAAGGGCCATCTTCTGTTATAAAAACTTCCATGCCTGCGTGCAGCACAAAATCTGCCTCATATATAAATGGGAGAGGAAAGCTTTTCTTTTTGTGAGAAGATTGCACAGATACAAACAATGAAAGAAATTTGAAGGGGGAGGAACACTCAGCCACTAGCTGTTCATCCATAACCATGTGAAAATTGACACAATGGGAACAATAGCAGGCCTGCCTCACTCTGGAGGCATAAAAACTGGTTATTCTGAGGAAAGTATTGGTCCAAAAGTCTTTTATTTATTCAAACAATCTTTTGAAAATGATTGCTTTTAAGAGTGATGCAGTTGTCATCGAGCTTGATGCACTTCATCTACAATGGCCATCTTGGGGAAGAGAGGAAGATGCTGCAGGGGAAAAGATCCAGTAAGTAAACTGGGCGAGTGAATGCATTTCAGTCTATGGCCTCCAGGACTTGGCCCTCCTTGAAGGTGATGCAAATGGCATTCTTTGACATGCATGGTGCCATCCACAACCATGCAGTATCCCAAGACCAAAATGGCATTGAAGACCCCTTCTTGCACGTCCTATGCAATTTTATCAGGCCAGCCACTTGCAAACAATTCCCTCACCTGCTGGAGACAGGCAAGACCTTGGGCCAGTTGCACTGCTTTCCCTTCAAAGTCAGACTTCTCCAAAAGTCAGACTCGAGTTTCAGTTGCATTGCCATTGCTAATCCTAGTCTGACTTTCTCGCACAGAAAAATAGGACTTGTATGCTTTGCAAGCTTGCTTTTTCAGCGAATGTGAAGATTGTCTAGACTTTTGATGCTGCAAAAGTCAACCTCATGTCTCAAAAAAAAAACAGGGTTTTAACGGAGGCTGAGCTGCTTCTCATGCACAGCATCCAAAAACAGATATAAATTCTCTTTTCAAAGTGTAATACAGCTCTAAGTAACAAGAAGGATGTTTGACATATTGTGGGGGAGGAGGTAAAGTGGGTCAAATTCTCATGGATGGCTCAATATTTTATTGTACATACATGAAGTGATTCCAATAACACCACTAAATTGTTGTTCACCTTTTTGTCACTTGAAGCATCAAGGGTGTAGCTTAAGGAGCCACAAGTAATGCTACAAAAGCTCTTAAGAAGGTAGACAATCAAAAGTATTATTTTTACGCACTTGTTTCACAGACATAATGCTATCATAGATATGTCACATACGTCAATCTTGATGTTGCTCGGCATGGGGCTTGCAGCACTCCCGTGACAGGTGGCATTATCCACGAATAGGATGATCTTCTTCTTATTTTTCTTCATTGCTTCATCCAGGTCTAAGATCCATTCATCAAAGACATGCCCAGTCATCCAGGCATTCTTGTTTGCTTCGTACGGCACGAGAAAGTTCTTGAGATGCTTGAAGCACCGAGGATTCTTGCTTTTGCCAATGATCAGCAGTGCAGTCTTGTCCGATTGCCACAAAGGAGTACGGTTATCCTCTCTTTAATTTTCTCCGTTGATTGGCTGTCCCTTCAACTGCATCTGCTCAAACCACAGCCACAACGTTCAGTCAACATCTCCTACCTTGCTCTCCCGTTTCCTCTTCCGTCTCACGTTTCCGTTCTTCTTGTACTCCATCCTTCAATGCTTCCTTATCTTTGATGAACTTGCGGCTGAGAAATCCCAAACTGCCGAGCCAATTCAGTTTGCGTCTTCTTTTCTTCTTGATCAGAACTGCAATCTTTTTGGCCAAGCTGAGGTCCTTCCTTCTCCCCATGGTCAACTCGGGGAATGAGCAGATCTGTTGGTTACAGCCTCAACTTACTGCCCGGGTGAACTTGCTTCCACTTCCACCTGAAAAGGGCAGGCCTCGTCTCCACATCTGCAGCCTATATTTACAGCCCAATTTCCACAAAGCGAGAGGGTGGGACTGGGGAGAGGGCTGGTGGGGATTTTCCAAGGATGCACAGTAGGAAAAATAAGCCATTTGTTTCTCAAAAGACAAGAAAAAAACAAAAAAACATTCACAATCCAGAAAAGTTTGATTCCTTTAAGGGAGTTATTCTACTAACCGTATTCCTTCATGCAATGTTTTTCATAATGCGTCCTCTGGACAAAATATCGGGACCTTGCAATGGTATTCCATCAAGTGGAGTATTCTATTAAGTGACATTCCATTGTGCAGAGTCGACTGTATCTTGAACATGATGCGAAACCATACTTGTCAAAGAAAAAGTAACCTCAAACAGGAGGAGGGCAACCACTTCCACAGCATAAAATCTCGAAAGCAGTCATGAACGTCATTGGAGAGGATATCGGTCAGCCTGCAAATCAGTCAATTTGGAAATTCCTTCTCTGTCAAGTCTGTACCTTTCATAAAGTTCAGAATCACTAAGCTGTTCCAAGGGGATCAAGCCTTTCCTGGAACATCCTTGAAGTTTCTACTTCTCTCTCAGGTCGGGCAATCGAGTGAACCATAACCACAGCTTCTCGAAGAAATCAGATAATGACGTTTCAAGTCAGAATTGATTCAGTTAAGACACCCCGAAGGTGGCTTGAGATTAGACAGACTTGAAAGTCAGGCTTTGAGATTAGTCAGGTTCAGTGCAACCGGCTAAAGTTTTAGACAGGCATCCAAAGTCAGACTTTGCATGAAATTCTGGCTTAACCGAGTCAGTGCAACCGGCCCCTTCTGTTGCAAGACAATGGGGCTCCCCTTTGGAAGTGCAAAGTCCTGGAGGTCACACCAGACTAGGGGCGTGCCCTTTTTGCTAGCCGCTCAGCTGACTCTGCTGAGGCCCCCAGCATCCGATGACGTCATTTTAAGGCTTAGCTGCTCAGCGTTCCCATAGTTCGCTATGTCCCACTCGCAGCTGCTTGCTCAACAGTGACATCATTCAGCGACGTGGTCGTGCCTAGCCAATGCATCTTTTTTGCCAGCAGCTGCTAGCGGCTGGAGAAAAAGACGTGTCCTAGGACTGGGAGATGCTAGCTTGCCTGGTATACTCACTGTATCTGTTGCTCCATGACTTCTTTCTCTTCCCAAGTGCTTGTATGCATGATGGTTTGAGGTCGCTGACACAATCAATGATGCCCACAAAGCATTGCTCCAGGACCAAGCCAAAGTACTACATCCTTGTATCCATGGTCCAGCACCACTGTAGAAGGAGTGAATTGAGCTCAACAACAACTTTTACAAGGATAATAAGTTAATCAGAACAAACGATAACCAGAACTCATAATTACGAGAAGCACATCCCGAAGCTGGACGTTGAAGACCGCTGCCGATACTGTCACGGCCCATCTGAAACGGTTCACCATCCTCCAAATGCCTGCCCCGAACTAGCCCCAAAAAGAGTACTTGCACAGGGACAACCAGGTATGCAAATACGTCCACTGGTGTGTCTGCAAGCATGCCCATGTCCCAGGAAGTCCCAGAGTGGACATCCAAAGTGGTATGAACACCATCCAGTCTGTAATGGTACTCTTGGACATACCAATAATAACAGACTGCCCCATCATCTGTAACAGGCCAGATCTCACAATCTAGGAGTAAAAGATTGCACTCCTTGTAGACGTGAGGGTACCAGCTGATAACAACCTCCAAGTGAAGACCTGGGAGAAGCTGGACTGCAAATTGGAAGTTTAATGGTTGTGTTCTGAAGACCACCATCATTCCCATCATTGGCACAATCAGTGCTGTCCTACAGGATCTCAGGGAACATGTCCAGCAACTGTGATGCCAGATATCCCTCGACATCCTCCAGCATCCGGCAATCTCGGGCATGGCCAACGTTCTCCACCGTGTCCTACAGAATTAGAATAGTATGAAGACTGAGATCCCCCTCCATACTTTCTATCTCGGCATATGCTTTGAGAAAGACTGAGATAATAATGATCATAATAATAATAGTGGTTTATTCATGATTCTGGAATAATCGTACACCAGCAAATTGCATCCCATTGTCAGGCATAGAAAGGGTGACAAAGTTATGGGATTTCTTCTCTGGGAGTTTTTTTATTTACCAAGCGAGTCATAATGGATATTGCTGACTGGTAGAATCGGTGCATGCGACACTTATTTTCTTCCAAAAGAGATGGTATGTTTCCTCTCAGGTTCAAGGGTGGGCATTGTTGGTAGGGAGGCAATGCCTGCCATCGCAATGGATTTTTTTAGGAGGGCATGGGCATAATTGGATGTAAGATCCAGTTGTCTTTTTGGTATTAGTATAATATAGCTTCATATAATACAGGTTCGGTATTTTACAGGTAATTTTCATGTTCTTTGAGGGTTTTAATACTATTCGTGACACTTCATTACTTGTGCAAACTTATAAGTATCACAATTTTTTGAACTTTTAGTCTTTTTATAAAATTATTATTTGTCTCTGCCCCTGTCGTATTTCACAACAGGGATATTCTGCGTGTCTCTTTTCAGGTTGCAAGCAATCCTTGAAAAATACATTTTCAACCATTTGTCAAATATGGTGGACCAATTTAGGTTAGGTTAGGTTAGATTTGGTTTTTACATGGTTAAATTCCTCATTCCATTCTGTCCTGGAGTCAGTCTTAACATTGATCCGGTGTCAAAGGCCAAACCCAGCTGACCCATCGTCCCCAAAAATTGCTTGACTTTCATGGACTCTTTCGGCCCAACATAGACGGAATGCGGCTCACTCGGTATGTGTTAGTCGCTGGTTCCCCGAGGTTAGAGTGCACTTGGGTTAAGTGAAAACTCAAAAAAGCTGACTGAACGTGAACGTTAGTCTAAACATTGAGCCTAAATTTGATTACGTTCTTCAATGAGATGATAGGAAGACAGCATATCCACATTTCTGCTTTCAAGACTAAATAACACCTCATAGAAAGACGGCAGCTGCTGCTATGATGTGTGAGACGGGACTATATTATTGATGAAAACACAGAGTAAATGTTCAATAATTCCAAACTTATGCATTTGCACAAGAAGTGAACTGTCACAAGTCGTATTAATGACCACGAGGAACGTATATATTGCATTGAGCATACCGAATTCGGGCGCGCAGTTATATTATATAATTACTGTCTTTTTTTTTTAAAGGATGGGATGCCGAGGGTCAACAAGGCCTTCTTGTAAGTTTCATATTTATACTCAAGGATTAAGCACAGGGCATGCTTCTGCACCTGTTCCATGGCATTTATGGCTCGGCAGGTCCGGGAGCAGCTCCGGGAAGGGCAGGCGTACTCAAGAAATGGCCAGATGCAAGACAACCAGACAGATCAGAGGTCCCCCTGGGTGCATCAAAAGATTTCAATATCTTTAGCATGTACATTCATCAGGAGGCTCTGGAAATGATTCATTTAGTGCTTAGATCCCACTGAAGGTTCAGGAGGTATCATTCTATAGAACATTTCTGGGAAATTTCATGAAACCATGAAGAGAAAGAAATTACTTGTGAAAAAAAAAAAAAAACCAAGAACTTCTGGATGACCCATGAAACCATATTAGGTCTTTTCATACATTGAACATGTAAGTCCAACATGTGCTTCAAGAATAAAGGACTATTCATCTCAGCAACTTTGCTCAAATGACAGGATTGGGTGAAAGGTGAGAGGGGTGAAGGCAATCCCATGGATATCACCTACTAAGACTTTGCACCAGCTTTTGATACCCTTCCTCACTAGAGGTTCCAGGCTGAATTGCAGCACACAGAATACATGGCAATGTGAGTAACTAAAAAAAAAAACTGGCAGTTAGGATGAAAGAAAAGAGAGTATCTGTAAACAGAGAAGTGTCAGCAGAAGTCAGGGTTGTGAGCAGAGTCCCTAGGCTATGTTCTGGAACAGCTTTTGTTTGTGGTCTACAGTAATGATTCATATTAAGAGTAAAATCAGAAAATTTCCTGACGACACATAGTTTCCTCCTTTGGGGGGGAAGGAAGACAAGGAAAGATCAGAGTACTCAGCTGAGATTCACTGTTTCTGAAACAGTGGAATAGAAAAATAGCAGGCGATGTTCACAAAGAGTAAATGTAAGATTCTTCACATCAGTCACCATAACAAAAGGCCTCCAAATGATTTGACAAGGATAAACTGGAGGAGGCAAACAGAGAGGGAGAGAGACTTATAAATCACTATCAGTAAGGGACTCCAGATCTCCTTGCATCAGCAAGCCACAGCGGCTAAATACGAGGTGGGGCAGAGAAGGTGAACACATTTTGAAATGTAATAACTTTGGTGCTTATGTATATAATGCATCCAAACAACACTCAGAATGTAGAACAGATACTGGAATGTATGTAATTTATATTTTTGACAATTATTTTCTACAAATAACCTCCTTGACAGTTAATACACTCCCTGGCACAAGCGATGGCATTGTTCATGGTTGCAGACAACATGTCATGTGGAATACTGCAAATCCTCATGGATCCTGTTCTTTAATTCCTGCATGGTACATGATCTGATGACATACTAATTGACTTTAAAAGAGCCCCAGAGAAAAAAGTCTGGTGCTGTCAGGTCCGATGACCTTGGTGGCCATTCAATGCCACCAAAGCTAGATACAAGATCTGGAGATGATGTATATACATATTACTGTCACTGTATTGCCATCATCATCCTCAAAAAATAAGGTCCAATTATTCCCTCTATTGAAGCCACTATTCCCTTGTGAGAACACATACGGAAAAATCATATATGACTTTATAAGAAATGGGCATATACGATGTATGGTATGGTCCATCATATATGACATTATATGAACATATATGGGAAAATATATCTGATCATATATTGCTATTGAAACAATGAGTACATGACCATATATGGCAAGGCCATATAAGAATTTTATAAGAAGCATGTATATAAAAGATACAGTTACACGCCTTATTGCAATCATTATCCTTAAAAAGAAGGTCCAATTATTCCCTCGATTGATGCCACTGCAATTTCATCGCTCTTGCCAGGGAGTGTATTAAGCATCAGGGAGGTTACTTGCAGAACATAATCTTCAAAACATAAACATAAAGCTCTGTGTCTGAGGTACATTCTGAAATGCTGTTTGAATGCATTATATACACGAACACCAAAGTTATTACTTTCCAAAATGTGTCCATCTTCTTTGCCCCACCCTATATATCAAGCATTCAAGTTACATCAGGCATCCAATTGTTAATTACAGCTGAGTCACTAACCTTACTTTGGAACATATGAGCCTCCTATGTTTTCTTCAGCCTATCATTCTTTACCTCAGCTTCTGCCAAGAAGGAGGTTTTAGCCTGTTTTCCACATTTATTTCCACATGACTATTATTATTATTTCCACATGACTGCCTTTCTACATGCTGTTATTGTTGCAATTGTAGGGGAATGAAACCAAGCAAACGATAGCTGATGCTGAAAACTCTATAATGAGAAGTGCTATTTGGGCACTTCCTGGCAAAACGTCCCTCTCTGTGATAGAGAAGACAAGTCCTTGCACTGACTCAAGGCCTAAACTTTACATATACGAGGGGTGTCTGAAAAGTTACCAGAAACATCTAATAATAACTAAACCGTTGTTTTCATTGCTACCAAAACTGTAATATCAGAGCAACACACCTCCATTAGCCCTCAAAATTATCACTGTTTCAATCTATACAATTCTGCCACCTGGAGGGCAATGACTTTATATCCTCTTTGTAGGAGCCTGTTTCTTGCTGCTGTAGCCACTTCTTGTCCTCGCCACTGATGAAGTGTACTCCATAAAGTTGGTTCTTCAAGTGACCAAACTGATGATTGTCAGAGGGGATTCTGTTTGGGCTAAACAATGCATGGCTGGCAACAGTCTATGGAAAATTGACAATAACTTGGATTGTTTTGAACACCAGACACAGGGTTCTTCAGCAGGGGTACATAGTTCTTGCCCTCCAGATGGCAAAGTGCTTAGATTCAAACAGTGATTATATTCAGGGCCAAAGGAGGAGTGATGTTTCTGTGTACCAGATTTGGTGGTGATGAAAACCATGGTTTAGTATCTATTCAATGTATCCATAACATTTTTGGACACCCCTTGTATAAGGGCCTTTTACTGCCCCTATTGCCCTTAATCTGCATCATATGGAGAAATTGGAGTTGGCTTCTTGATATGGCTAAATCACCACATGTGATTAAAACCAGCATTGAATGAGCCAGTGTCAATTTTGGAATCACCCAATGGAACTGCACAATTGGGGTTGGGTTGCCTGTTTCTGGTTCTACCTATAAGTTAAACTGGGTTTTCTAACTGCATTCTCAACCACTTGCAAAGTTGTGACGAAGTCCCGAGTCGTACAGAGTCTCTCGTTTGTGTAAAGGAAATCAGCTGCAATGCAACCAAGCTCTTCATTTGATTAAAAGCTTACTCAGTTTCCAAATCCTTTGTTATACTGATTTTGTTTTTAAAAAAATGTGGATATGGATACTTCCTGTTTCATCAACATTATTGACAATCAAGGATACTAAATAGCACCAAAAGCTGAAACCTCTTTAAGCTAATGATCCTTTAAGAAAATCGATACTCCCATGGGAGAGCTCCCTAACCTAAAGACCCCATTATCTCCCCTAAATGAAGTACGTGCACAAGGGTGGATTGCATAAAACTAACTTTAGCGTGATGAAGCTTTAAAATTCCATTGGCAACACTAATGGAGGTTTAAAGCTTTATTACACCAACAGTTTTATGCAAGTAAACACTGCTTGAGCTTTGGGCTATTTCTGAGTTTGGGATTCAAACCTTGTGGTGAGATCAGCTTGCCCACTTCAAAGACCAGGACCTTGAGAAATTATTTTCCTACAAACTGCACCAAACTGCAATGTGTCAATTGTCCGTTGTGGCGGGTAGTACTAAACGGAAGGATGGAGTGCACAACACTCAACTGCAACAATCAAACTCTTCTTGTTCAAGACTTGAATGGTGCATTACATCAAGATGAGGCCATACCAGGGTGGATGGTGCATTGTCTGTTCCAGGGATGAAAGTGATCTCTTTCAACCTTTGTTTTTAATGGGAAGGAGGATTGATGCCTCTGCTTTTGGGAACGGAAAGCAGCCCCTGGCTCAGCCTACTCATCTCTCAGGTCTCCTTAGCCCAAAGGTAGTTGTTCACATCCTCCCTTCACTTCCTCCAACTGGCACATCATCCTGTTATGGAGGTAAAGAGCTGAAATTCAATCAGATTATCACTCACTTGCTCCTTTTTAAAAACTATGGTACTTCATGAATGTCCAAACTATGCAGCCAGAGATCCATGATAAGAATTTCATAAACATGTATATAAAAGATATGGTGGAGAAGATAAGAAACTTTTATGATTTAATATATTCATCTACAGTATATATCTTGTATATGGTAAGGCATATATGTCACACCTGATATGTCAAGCCTCAGAGTGTGCCCTACTTTTTTTTCACTTCCTACAGTTCCATAAGTGTACAGTGTATTAACATATTTAGCCTTTCAAAACATGGTATAAGTAATTAAGTAATGTATGGCTTACTTCATAAGGAATTTCATGCAAGCCATTATGCAGAATTACAACCACCATTTAAAAGAGCAGCAAAGCCTTTCCAGCATGAAGCATGCAGCGCTTGTAAATTTCATACGGTAAGGCCACAAAGTAATTGTTTTTCATACCATATGGCCATACCATCTAAATTATATATCCCATATGCACATGGTACAATATACATTTCCAGCAACACACATTTCTTAAATGAAAGCATGCATGCTGAGTGTGAATTCACAATATGTGAAAGTTCTTCATAAAAACCATATACTTAAACTAGGTGTACCATATATGTAGGAGTCAATCCCTCTAATTGTATAATTCTTTTATACAGAACATATATACTGCCCTGGTATGTTTAATATATGAATAATCCTTACATGAATCATATGCTCCAACCATATATGCCAGCATATATGTGCATGCATATTTCAGCACATGATGAATATATAAAATTATAAGGCACAGATAATTGCATATAACTACCATATATGACCTTTCCGTATGGGAGGTCATACAACAAATACATGTTTTCAAGATTGTGCAGCACTTGGTGGGCAGTCAAACTATGAAATTGCAGTTCTCACAACAGATTGTTCAAAGGAACTGCTGGGGAGTGAATCTGCTTGCCGATGGATTTTCTTCATGGAATACCAGGAATAACATGTGGCCTTAAGTTTGGCAATACATGACATTCAAGGGTTTAGAATGAAATGGATATGTGATGAAAAGATATGTGATACAAACCTAGATTTTCTGAACTCCAGATTAACTGCAGTTTTGAGGAGTGAGCTGTATCTATTTTGGACTTGGGCATTGATTTCCACTGTTTGCTACAGCTCCCATCCAGAGAGACATATAGTTTCCAATTGTTTCATGATTCTTACCAAAACATCCTTTTCATTACTTCCCATTGAATTACAAAGCTGCAGGAATGCCTTAGGAGATGTGGTAGGGAGGTTGTGTAACTGTGGGACTTGAGCACTTGCATGCCTGCAAAGCTCTCCCAGCGAGCAAAGTACTTGCTCTGGGACCGAACCTCTTGGCGTATGCTTGTCAGAAGATTGATGGCTTCTGTTGCAAAGGTGGAAAATTCTAAAGCAAAAATATGCAATCAAGCATACATGTCACCAACAAGTAAGGGAGGGGAGGTAAGGTTATTACATGTTGTGTGAGTTCATGATCCACTCTGCTGAAACCAGAACTACCTTCATTTACTGCATGATGCTTTTTTTTTTCCTACTAATTTTCAAAGCTTCTTGAAAAGCAAAGGAGTAGCTCAAGTGTCAAAGCCATGACACAGGGAGGCCTTGCCATATGCAATCATCTTTTACACAGGGACTCACTGCTCCTGGGAGAGTCTTCCTCCCTCTACTTGCAGGAGAATCAAATATTGATGTATCCATTAGTAGTTAAGGGAAGAAAATGCCAGAAATGGGGCTTGAAGTATGTTCCTGACAACAATCATGTGACAGCCTCCTTGAGGAGAGCATGATACCAGAATGCAAAGCTTGGGCAAGCACACTGTACATGTGGACAGTCCTGGTTTCAGCAAGCTGAAGCTCAACCTCACATAACAAAATATGATAACCAAGTGATCCTCAAAAATCAGTTCAGGAAATATGTTGTTAGGTATAACACACCCACAGCTGCCCTAAACCCTATTAATTTCTGGTTTTCACATATGCTATGGGAGAGGTCTAATAGTAAACCCCTGCCATAGCATATTTTTGCCTGAAGCTGCAGGATGCCATAAACCATCAAGGACTACAAGGAGACTATGGAGTGGAACAGTGTCATAGTGGAATGTCCCTATTGACTTGAAAGTAGATGTCTTTCTCAAGATAGCACCAGCTGCACTAAAATTTGTCTTGCCTCATGTCAATGACCCTAGAACCACTTTGGAAACCTGATATGTCAAAATGTAAGGAATGTTAAAATAAAATATCCTACTTGATTTCTAAATTTATTTAGCAACAAACCTCGGAAAAAGCAATCTATATAAACCATCCTAGAGCAAAAAATACAGGTATGCTTGGTATCTATCTCCTTTAGAAGCAAAACTGAAATCATCTGAGGTTCATGGCAGAGTTCTCCAACATGGTTCTGGAGCGTGGGATTGCTGAGCAGTAGAAACACAATCTTTCTTTAAATTTTAGATGTGAACCATTGGCCAAAATTAGGAGAGATAAGTGACATGGAAGCTGTCAACTGGAATTGAATTATGTCAAGTAAACATTGTGAATAAGCTAAAATCGACTTCTGTTTCACTAAGAAGCTGAATTGGACCCTAGTTTAACTGAGTGGCTGAAGTGAGAAAATAAGACAGTAGCATGTGCAAAAAACCATTTAAAAATTCAACCAGGGAAATCAAAGCATTTCAAGATGAGAATAGCATGGTCTTCCACAAGTTCAAAAGCTCTTGCTCACCTTTTTGTGTGACAAATGATTGTGTGGCAAATTTAGCTGTTGTGAAATTTTCAGGAATCCCACAGGAACTCTCACCATGAGGATAACTCTCACGTAATGACTTGATGACATTTCCATGAATCTGCTTCTTAAGATGTTTTGATTTCACCTCAGCATCATGGAATCCAGAACCTAGGGAGGAATCATAAGACAAAGTCTTAAAATCTTTAAAAAGAAAGTAGCAAATTGCAAAAGACTGCACCTACCTGGGCCAGATGCAAAGTGACTTTCACTTGATTTGCAGTCCATGTTCTTTATGTTGATGATTCAAGTAAGTCATGGCTAAGACTCTCTTTGTTCTTTTTTGGGGAGGTTTTGCACTCATTGGCATAGCTGCTACATCAGCAATGTCATCTTCCAGCCGATTTGACCTCCAACTTTCATCTTCACTGGTAATCACTGGAATCATATGACTTCCATGTTATGGTCAATTGTGTCTGAATTGGGTCAGTCACTGATGACATTAATTAATAAAAAAGAAGTTACATGGAAATGAGGAGCATATTAGGCACTTGAGTTTGAATGATTAAAATGTCTTCTCACCATAGGTCTTTTTTGATGACAACTGGAAATGTAGCCCAGGATGAATCAGCTTCACAGCATTCCTCACTAGCTTTGATATGTCACACTTTCCCATCGGCCATGAGCAATGACCTCCATTTATCCAAGTCTTGGGAACAACTTCCACTTCATTTGATCCAGGAAAAAATACAGTGCAATACTGAGTTGACTTTGACATCATGAATGGTGAAATTTCACCAAAAACCCTTGAATTCTGACTTGTCTGGGTGAGAGTGCAATATCACACTGATGGCTCCTCTTCTACTTGCACAGTCAAAAACTATCCCTCTAATGCCAATGGCTTTCAGAATTATGAAATTAATGTAGCTTGCCACATTTCCTTATACTTTGCATATATGTAGAAACCTATGCAAACTCTAATAACGTACACAATCGTTGCTAATAATGCCATAAATGCAGGTAGGACCATTGAAATAAATTTCTTGAAATTCTATAACTTTCTAGAAAGTCCTAGCAGAGCACATGTCAGCAAAATTAAACCACATCTAATGGCAGTGCAACCACTCCACGGGGTTGAAAGGATGGCAGCAAAATAAGTTTCTCGGTGACCCAAGAGGCAGGAAGGAGCATAAAATGTGAGGACTTTCTGACAAAACAAATGCCCAAATTAATGGAATTCAAGGGTTTAGTATTAACAGGATGGAGTTTCTTCATTTCTCTTCCATGCAGGAGTGGTTTTCCCAACTCTGTGAATTCAATGGCATCTACTTTCATAAATATTCCATTCATCAGTTCACATGCATCACCCTTTTGAGATCCAATGACAAGTTCAAACTTATTATACAGAAGTTTTTCAACACCTCTTAGAGCTCTCACATACACAGGTTCAAGTTCCTGCTGCCTTTTGGGTAACTCTGTCATCGGTCTGTAGTATTCTCGTTCACGAAGCCGCAACACAACTTGCTCAAGCGGAAGGGTAGGAGCGCGAATTAGGCCTTTGATGGATGCCAAAAATGACTCAAATTGGAAAGTACTGAAATTTTCAAGTGGCCCATGGATTGAAACATCATCAGGTGATGCACTGAATGGACAGTATAAGAAGCAATCCTTTGACCATAGAGCTGACGTGCTTGGTGAACAAAGCATGTGAGAAATACCCTTGCCTCATCCAGAAGCACTGAAGATGTCAATGGACTCTTCAGTATCCAAGTTGCAACATGGAGAAGAAGAAAGTGCTCATATAAGTCTTTCTTCAATATTCCAAGAAGAGCAAGGACACCCAAAGGAAAGAAGCCGTCTGAGACTGTGGAGTGGAATAGTGTCATAGTGGAATGTCACTATTGACTTGAAAGTACATGTCTTTCTCAAGATAGGACCAGCTGCACTAAAATTTGTCTTGCCTCATGTCAATGACCCTAGAATCACTTTGGAAACCTGATGTAAGTCAAAATGTAAGGAATGTTAATCAAATATCCGACTTGATTTGTAAATTCATTTAGCAACAAACCTTGGAAAAACCAATCTGTATAAACTATCCTAGAGCAAAAAATACAGTTATGCTTGGTATCTATCTCCTTTGGAAGCAAAATTGAAATCATCTGAGGTTCATGGCAGAGTGCTCCAACATGGTTCTGGTGCATGGGATTGCTGAGCAATAGAAACACAATCTTTCTTTCAATTTTAGATGTGAATCATTGGCCAAAATTAGGAGAGATAAGTGACATGGAAGCTGTCAACTGGAATTGAATTATGGCAAGTAAACATTGCGAATAAGCTAAAATCGACTTCTGTTTCACTAATAAGCTGAATTGGACCCTAGTTTAACTTAGTGGCTGAAGTGAGAAAATAAGACAGTAGCATGTGCAAAAACCATTTTAAAACTCAAGTAGTGAAATCAAAGCATTTCAAGATGAGAACAGCATGGTCTTCTACAAGTTCAAAAGCTCTTGCTCACCTTTCTGTGTGACAAATGATGGTGTGGCAAATTTAGCTGTTGTGAATTTTTCAGGAATCCCATAGGAACTCTCACCATGAGGATAACACTCACGTAATGGCTTGCTGACATATCCATGAATCTGCTTCTTATGATGTTTTGATTTCACCTCACCATCATGGAATCCAGAACTTAGGGAGGAATCATATGACAAAGTCGTAAAATCTTTAAAAAGAAAGTAGCAAATTGCAAAAAACTGCACCTACCTGGGCCGGATGCAAAGTGACTTTCACTTGATTTGCAGTCCATGTTCTTAATGTTGATGACTCAAGTAAGTCATGGCTAAGACTCTCTTGTCATCTGTCAATGTCATCTTCCAGCCAATTTGACCTCCAACTTTCATCTTCACTGGTAATCACTGGAATCATGTGATTTCATTTTTTTTTTCTCCCCTTCCAAGTTCACTCTCACTGGCTGTTATCACAACAGACAGCTCCTCGTATTGTGGAAGATGTTCACAAGCTTTCTCATAATGATCTGAGGAGGGTATAGACCAAGGTTAACATCTTTGAAGGAGAAAAATGATGCATGAAATGATCACTAGAATTATGACAGCATTTAATTGGCCTACTTATTTATAATCAGAATGATAAAATTTTTTTAATTGTTTAGTCGCAACAATAGTTATAGACCCATTTCCATTTCACAGAATAACCTTTATTAAAATGAAATAATAAATCTGTGGTTAAAATTCATCTCCCATTTGAGGAGAGGTCCTTGTCTGTCCGTCCCAGTCCTCGTTTTAAATATTAAAAAATATGTTTGTGGATGTCAAGCCATGGGTAAGCAAAATGGGGGAAATTGAAGATGAAAATAAACCAGATTTTCCGTCTTGGTGGAAGATTTGTTAACTCCTGAGTCCTATTTATAGTCACCATGTTATGGTCAATTGTGTCTGAATTGGGTCAGTCATTGATGGCATTAATTGATAAAAAGAAGTTACATGGAAATGAGGACCATATTAGGCACTTGAGTTTGAATGATTAAAATGTTTTCTCACCATAGGTCTTTTTTGATGACAACTGGAAATGTGGCCCAGGTGTGACATACTAATTGACTTTAAAAAAGTCCCAGAGAAAATAGTCTGGTGCTGTCAGGTCCGATGACCTTGGTGGCCGTTCAATGCCACCAAAGCTACATACAAGATCTGGAGATGATGTATATACATATTACTGTCACTGTATTGCAATCATCATCCTCAATAAATAAGGTCCAATTATTCCCTCGATTGATGCCACTGCAATTTCATCGCTCGTGCCAGGGAGTGTATTAAGCATCATGGAGGTTATTTGCAGAACATAATCTTCAAAACATAAACATAAAATCCTGTATCTGAGGTACATTCTGAATGCTGTTTGAGCATGAACACCAAAGTTATTACATTCCAAAATGTGGTCACCTTCTCTACCCTCCTTTCTCTGACTCCTTACCAAAAACCACATCAAACATGTTGGTGTCAATGAAAGGCCTTCTTTATTTTTTGCTTCCTTCAAGGAAAATCCCACAGCGCAGTCATCTGTCATGAGGGCTTTCATAATGTTCTGGGTGACCTGCTTGAAATCTCTTCCCCCGAATGATGACAAAGACAAAACCTGTTTGAGAGACATGAGGATATGAGCTACGTATGAAGGGACATATAGTTTCCAATTGTTTCATGATTCTTACCACAGCATCCTTTTCATTACTTCCCATTGAATTACAAAGCTGCGGGAATGCCTCAGGAGATGTGACAGGGAGGTTGTGCATAACTGTGGGACTTAAGCATTTGCATGCCTGCAAAGCTCTCCCAGCGAGCAAAGTACTTGCTCTGGGACCGTACCTCTTGGCGTATGCTTGTCAGAAGTTGATGGCTTCTGTTGCAAAGGTGGAAAATTCTAAAACAAAAAAATGCAATCAAGCATACACGTCACCAACAAGTTTACAGGCTTCACGGTAACTCACTATAGCGAGTCCCTGACTCATATTTCCTTGGAGGGACTCATGTTTGCGAAACATATGATTCCGTGGGACTCATTGACGGGCACCTGAACGTGTTCTGACAGCTGAAAATAGGTGCCAGGATTCAAGGTTCAGAAAAGCTAGCACGAACCCAGGTTCATCTGTGAAAAATTGATGAAAGCAGCCAGTAAAAAAAAAAAAAAAAATACTAGGGTGAAAAAGGAAAATGGCATGATTGTTGATACCACTTCATTAGCAGCTGCAAAGCAGAATTTTTTTTCCTTTCTTAAAGCAATTTTCTTTAAACGTAGGTTTGATAGAAAATTAGCATCTGTACTTGGATATATTCATATGAAGAACTTTGTTGCACATAAAGAGGAAGCATTACATGTTGTTTGAAGAGAATCTGTGCCCAATCATGTTCATTATTAATGGTAGTAAGTTTCATCAGATGGACTTAATTTTATAAACACTGCATATGCCAGCAATGTAATATTTAAAAAATATTTAATTTTTTGGGAGTGTGTCTAACTACAGGCCGAAGCCTTTTGTGCGTCCTTCCTGTGTGATCGTGCTATGTCGCAGTCCATTCTGTCTCCTGCTCTGGGGTTTCAGTCCCAGGAGCCCATCTCATGCCAAGTCACGTTCAAATTCAAGGTACATGGCCTGGTTTTTCCCTTCAGACTTCAGTTAGACACAGGGACTCACTGCTCCCGGGAGAGTCTTCCTCTGTCTACTTGCAGGATAATTTATGCATCCATTAGTAGTTAAGGGAAGGAAATGCCAGAAATGGGGCTTGAAGTGTGTTCCTGACAACAATCATGTGACTGCCTCCTTGAGGAGAGCATGATACCAGAATGCAAAGCTTTGGCAAGCACACTGTACATGTGGACAGTCCTGGTTTCAGCAAGCTGAAGCTCAACCTCACATAACATGATAACATATTTTTGCCTGAAGCTGCAGGATGCCATAAACCATCAAGGACTACAAGGAGACTGTGGAGTGGAATAGTGTCATAGTGGAATGTCACTAGTGACTTGAAAGTACATGTCTTTCTCAAGATAGTACCAGCTGCACTAAAATTTGTCTTGCCTCATGCCAATGACCCTAGAACCACTTTGGAAACCTGATATAAGTCAAAATGTAAGGAATATTAATAAAATATCCTACCTGATTTGTAAATTTATTTAGCAACAAACCTTGGAAAAAGTAATCAACATAAACCATCCTAGAG